CCCAAGTTGTGGATGCTGAAAAAGATTTAAAAATTTTTTTTTATAAAGTAAAAAAAAAAAAAAAAAAAAAAAAAGAAAGAAAGAAGAGTTTCTTCAATAAGAATGTTGGAGAATAAAAAAAACTCGCTACATTTCAGTACAAGAACATTTACTTCATTAAATGGTACATTAGACCTTATATCGACCGCTCGAAATAAAAAAAAATAAAAACAGAGAATTCCTAAAATTCACCACAGCAAATTGAAGAACAAAGCTGTCATCAGGTATCCTAAAAAGTTTATGAACCTCATATAACTTGGCTATGTTTTAAGTGTTTATTTCTGTTTTTGTAAAAATTTTGGTACACACCTCATTAGTAGATAACTATAATTTAGTTTGTCAGTAGGAAATATGATCCAAGACCAAAACAACATATATATTTTGAATGCAGAAATGTTGGCCTGCTAAAAAGTAACACATAGAAGTACAGGTGCTCTGGCCATCAAATTGAACAATGATGGTAGTTAAACCATGACCTTAACTTTCAAATGAAAAGGAAGAAAATTACTGGCATCTTAAAACAGAACTTCTGACTATAGATGATCAGTCAGGTTCCTTTTTCAAACAACTAATTATCGCTCAGCTACATGCAAATTTGCACCGTCTTAATCTCAACAAATGAGCAAAATATCAAAGCCATCAGTAAACAAGCTGATGGCAAAATAACTAGACAACACAAAAAGCAAAAACAAAAAGGTTGCTTTGAAAAGCAAAATTATACTATCTGTCAAAAGAGCTTTTGGTAGTTTAATTAAAAAATTAGTTAAGAAAACTGAAATCTACTCCAAATGTAACACACCACAATGGCAGCGACAACATGTTTGTTACCTCCACTGCCCAGTTTTCTGTTCCTGTATTGGTGCTTTTGTCTGCATGTTCAAAGAGACTTGTTTTCTTAGAGTACAACACTGATTATGGATAAAAATAAAAAAATAAAACTTCAAAAGATGCAGAACTATTCCTTTAATCTTTCTAAAAGCATATCTGACATTTTTGCACTGAGGTTTAAATTAAATGAACCTTCACAAGTCGGATTTTTCCAGTCTGGAGAAACAGATCTTCAAGAAGCAAAACATCAACGTGGAGAACACAAACTAAACGT